TATCTCAGTCTGGTCTAACACTTTCCTTTTCTTTTTTTCTGCTGAAGCTGAGGAACAAGTTCATGAAGAAAATTCCCAGAGACGCAGAAGCCTCCAACGTCTTAGTGGGCGAAGTAGATTTCCTCAACAAGCCCTTTGTGGCCTTCGTCCGTCTGGCTCAGGCCACAACGCTGGGAGGCCTGACAGAGGTGCCGGTTCCCACCAGGTAAACCGTTCCACTGATCCTCACATCCTGCCTGCCGCCATCTGCACCGCCAGCACTTCCTGACACGTCTGCTTTCCTCTGCAGATTCCTCTTTATTCTCCTGGGACCCCAAGGAAAGGCCAAGTCATATAATGAGATCGGCCGAGCCATAGCAACCCTGATGGTGGATGATGTAAGCGGCCATCACTGTGTTAGGGAGACGGCTGCTGACAGCGGATAGTCTGAGGAGACCAGAAAAGATCTGATCAGCTGCTGACAGCCAAACAATCCAGTTCATTAGAGGGTTAGAGGGATCCAGAAAAAGTGCTAAATGTATTTTCTTCAATTATTATGAATTTAAGCTTAAATTTAAGCCCATTTCCTGCTTTAACTGCAGACTGTGCAATAAAAACTGTCTTCTTTAGCTTAGGGACATAATGAACATGTTTGTCATTAATGATAAAGTTTAACCTTATATTCTAATAGTAGTGAAAGTGGCGTTAGTAATTAGTTGCCTCTTACAACATCGCAGCACTAACATGCTATAAAGAGTTTAAAAAGAAGAATATTTCAACAATGATGAGCTTCATTATTTGATTAATTTCAAACGGATTTGGTCCCTTGCCTGGGTGCACTCCACCAACGCAGCAGATTGCTCTAATTCCTTGCAAATGGAAAAACAGAAGAAATGCGAGCATTAACGAGCGGCGGGAGAGAAGGCCAGACCGAAAGAAGAGCTCAGTGTAAAGCAGATCCTCCAGGGACAGCTTAATGTCCAAAACAAACTACTAGAACTAATAAGTCATCGTTCAGCTCTCATCCTGCAACTTTCCGCTGCGCCCAGGGGGGGGATTTACCATTAGGCAATAATAGGCGGTTGCCTAGGGCCTCTAAGTTCCTGGGGGGCCCATAAAACTCTGTCTACATGTATGGTTAACACAACTATTTCAAATTTGTGCACATTAATTATGTTTTTGATAAAAATCCTTTGGCTAAAATGCCATCAGAACCC